CCCCCCCCAGCTGCATTCAGGGTAGTTCTGGGGTTTCTGGAGGTTTTTCTACCTTCTCAGCCTGATTCACACATTTGGGCACAAAACCCTAAAACAAACCAACCCCAAAACACACCCTACTACTGGTAACAAGAACATGAGGAAAATACTACAACAGCCATCCCCCACACCCAAAGCAAACACATTTTGTGCCATCTTTATTAATATTGCATGGCTCTGTGATCAAAAATTCTTTTTCTTGCCAGGAGTGTCACTGTTTCACTCTCCCTTCCCCCTCTCTAATTGCATATAAATATTTTTATTACATACCTGATAGGGAAGCAAATTGTAAGGCCAAAAAAAATCTCTGTTTTGCTCAAGTGAAATTGCTGCTATACCACTCTGGATAGATTAGATAGATAAGAAATCGGAAAACAAAGGTACCGCTTGAAGAAAAGATAAGTTGCTAGAGGAGTAACTTCCAGTCATAAAGAGCAGCAGCTCTTCCACAGGCTCTGTCCTTGTCAGTGGCAAATGCACAAGATTTCAGAGACTGGTGTGGGTTTTTTTACCATCAGCGGGTAGAGGGGGAGAGGAAAGGAAAAAAAAAAGCCACAGTGAAATCTGGTGCGTCAGTGCTTCTAGTAGGATACAAAAACTGCAGTAATGGAGCAGAAAAAGGTACAAAACGAGATTTGATAGTAATTAAGTGTCTCACCATGAGATTCCTGCAATACTACACGATAAGAACAAACAGATCACATTTGTATCATTATGACTGTAAGAGAATTATCATTGTGGAAGTCAAACATGGTGTGTTCCTAGCCAAGATATTACATGTTGCATCAGTATGCAAAGTACCCCTGAAATACTGCATTTGTTCTCCATTTCCCTTTCTTTTGGAAATAAACTCCATTTTCATCAAGTGCCAAGACCATAAAAGTCAGAATACAAGGGTTTATTCCCATACATGCTTTACACTTGAGCAATGGCACTGAGTTCACTCTACCCCAGCTTCACGAAATCTAAAGCATGCACACATCTCAAGTTTAAGGGGACTCAGGTACTACTTACAAAGTGTTTTGAAATCTCTGACTGATAAATTCTGGGGAAAATGCAGCAGGATTAGTTACTTATACTTAAGAGCAAGGCTTGTCAACTGAGTCCTCCTGCAGGCTAGCTTTGTGGTGTTTTCAGGAGGAAACAAATAATTAAAGCGAAAGGAATTTGTAAACAGAATTTTAAGAGAAAAAAAATCGATATCCGAGAACATCACATCAGAAGGTCTCTTATTCCCTTTCCATCATGTGTTTGCGCTAGACTTCAGCTCACAATGAAAAGCAGAGCTGCAAAGGCAGAGAGCAAATATATGAAAAATACATTTTCGTCAACAGCCTTTTAGGCCATTCTCCACATTCAATGGGTTCCAAGGAAAAAAACAAAACAAAACAAAACAAAAAAACCCCAACCAAACAAAAATGCCCCAACACTGAGGACCAGAACTAGGAAGCTACGCAGAAAAGTTTTGACATGTCAGAGTATCTAGCATACTCCCTTTAAAGTCTTAGCATGTCAGCATCATAGCCATATTTTCTAGTACATACATACAGCCACTTTTGCTTCAAGCCCAACTAATTATCTATCTATTTTTGCCTATGCCAATGAGTCCATTTTTGGTGCTTTAGATAAAAGTATCAAGTTCTCAGTTTATAATGCAATTATGATGGGGAGGAAGAGAGCAAAAGCAGAAAAAAAGGGCAACAGCTGGTAACTTCAATCAGTGCACTTGGAAACACAAATAAAGCAGAATATTCCACAAAGATACAATCTCAGGGTGGGGGAAGTATGCAGCAGTTTCTGAGCTAGTGAAAGGCAGCTAAAGATGAAATTAAACGTTCCTTAAGCACCGATGCACGCTGATAATGTACAGCACCTTACAGAAACAAAGCTCTATATATGCTACGGCACTGTAGTTCTATGAACAGAGGCTATTTACACAGCATTTTAACAAGAGGAAAGTCACAGGGAAAGTAAGATTCTACCTTTGATATCAGGGTGTGAGCAAGAATGAAAGAGAAGACAGGAATCCAAAGAGGATTAGTGGCATTAATGGAGGAACATGGAGAAAAATTAATGGAGAAGCTGCAAATGCTGCAAGGAAGACATTTCTTCTTCCCCAGCACTTCAAGGGTTAAACTTTACAATGAGCAATATTCATTTCCTGACAGAGTCCATATTCCACATCTGGGATTCTAGATTTCCTAGAATCTGAAAGTCTAAGGTTTGATGCAGCTGCTGAAAAAAAGACGCTAAACAGAAATCAAAAAGGGGAAACAAAGAAAACCAAAGTAACTTTCTTGAATACCTTGACCACAGCAAGCACATACCCAGGCAGTAGGAAAGTGCCTACAGGAGGGACAGACAGACTCTGTAAGCCAAAGTCTTGACTCTAGTCTTCAGCTCTGCCACCACCTCACTCAACAGATACTTCTGAGCACGTTCTTTCCCACGTCTCTACATCTCAGGTTACATCTTGTACTGTGCCATTGAGCTGGTTGCTAAAGATATTTCTACAGTCTTCAACCACATTATCTTATTAAACACACAGCACTTTACAACTGTGAAGTAATTTTTTCTAGCTAGAATATGTCAATACCCTAATAATTTTCAATAAGCCATACAGCCACAGCCTGAAGGGGGAAAGAAAAATAAAAAATAAATCACCTTCTCCACCCTGGAAGCTCAGCAGAATGTTCCAGCTGAGTTTGCAAAGGTGCTTTCAGTCTCAATCTCTTCTCAAGTGCAACATAAAAATTTGCAGCCAGGTGATTACATTTTGTTTCTTATTTGATGTATGACCTTGGAGTAACCCACCTGTGATTTGCAATAAATCAGAATTCACATCACCTGTATGTCAGACAATAGGCTGGGGGAGGGTCATGGCTGACATGCTCTCAGGAGCAGGTGAAAGACAGCTGCTTCATTTTGCAGCTCTCACAAATAAAAACATACCTGAGATGGCACTGCAATCTGATAGAATGTACCATCGCTACGCTTAACATATATAATGAGAAAAGGAGAATAAATGCATCTAAACCATTGATGTATATCACAGAGAACATTAGACACATACCAGTTGGCTCTAATGCAAGTATTCACATCTGTACAATAGGTAAATAATTCAGGAGCAAGCAAGAACATCCAACTGTAACAACAAATAAGTAGTGAAATTACGTGAAGCACTTTGAACAGGCTCCGTTGTCATGACACAGAAGCCAATAAAAAAAAAAGCCTCTTACTTGCTTTTAGCATATTTCCAACATTTATCCTTCCCCTTCTCTCTCTTTCTCTCACAAGAGTACCCTAAACAAAATGGAAAAAATGATCCAGCCCACCTGGAACAGTTGTAATTGTGAGAAAGTTGTGAGACTACCTGCCTTGATTCAGCAATACCTACCAGCCCACACCCTGGTTACACACAGAAATAATGTAGGGACAAGCCTTTGACCTCAAAGTGCATTCCATTGAATTGGCTGTTTCATTTTATGGCACCAAACTAAAGAAATGGCCCCTGTCTATCATAATGCAAGAAAAAGCGGAAGCCTGGGCACAAATGATTAACTACAACTCTTCTACATGTAGCAGAGGTAAAAGGGGATTAAATTCCCCCTGTGGTAGCTCTCAACACTTCCCATGGGCTGAGATGGCCTTCTTTGGGTCTGAAGACCCATGTGTGCGTGTATGTGTCAAGAGAAAGAAAAGCATTATGTTTTTTCTCTCCGCTGCGTACCTAACACAGAATACAAGCAACGCATTCATTCTGTAGATGCTAGTATAAATTAATTGCTGAAGCACATGAAGGACAGGAGAGCTACTTAATATGTGTTCCGAGTCCAAGGCTGCAGACGAAGTACGAGTGGTATTAGTGTGTTTCAGGAACCCTATCTTCCACAGTGTGATTCAAGACACTACTTGCTCACAGCAGTTACGGATTGATTTCGAGTTTTCAACACAAATTGACAGTGGGATCTGTATTTGGATTGCCACATGTAAGAGGAGGGCTTGCTGTACCATGCAGGTGTGCTCTAGATCATTACTGAAGGCTAGCTCCAGCCTGACATATTTTTAGTTGTGGAGATGTTCATCACAGTCCTATATATGCATATTTTATAAAGCTACCCCAGAGGACACGAGAGCAGGGCTCAAAACGAATTAGCAAAATTCATGGGCAATAAGCACATTAGTGAATATTAAAACCAATATATTATCTAAGCAACCTACCTCCAGTTCAGAAAGAGCCTAT